GCTTAATCACTTTAGGCTGTATTAATTATTCTCCAGGTACTGGTAACCTTTCTCTCTCCTTTCTAGCCACACCACATACACAAAAAGAGGCAGATAGGTAGAAAATTACCTTACTTTCACATTCTGTTGAATACAGGAGAGATTCTCTCATTGAGGGGACATCAGAGAGTCACCGTATATGTGGGTTTCCACAAGCTAGAGATCAGATTCCTCCTGTATCTCAGTCACCACTAGGAAAAAGCTGATAGTTTTTAATGCAATGAAGGCAAGCCGCTTTTTAGCCATAAATTAGACACACAGCTGCTCAGTTAAACCTGCTAAAGCAATAAGAATAGCCCATAACCCCAGAATGTCACAGGAAAAGGGTGATTGTTGGGGTTTTTTGCATGTTAAATTTCCAGTCAGGTCATTGCACATAGTTGTAACAATATATGCCTGTGCATTTCTCGCAGTTTTAAACTGCCTCTTTGGATATGTGACTTCTTCTCTATCCATCTCTGAAACTCAGTCTGTAACACAGTAATATAATTTAGGTAAAATTCTTTTAAAGATCTTGCATTTATTTAGCTATATATATACACACACACACGTATATGTAGGGTTTATTATTAATGCAGTGCTATGGAATGCTCCCTATCTGCACTTATTTCACAGGCTGCTGACTCCTGATTGACTTCTTTACTACGTTTTAATAGACATAATATGAAGTACTTCCTAGTGCCATTTTTCTCCACAGAGCTTTCAGAGTTTCACTGAGAGGACAGTGGGGTTCAGAATCTGGTGTTAGTACCTGATAGTAACCTAGTATGTTTTCTGAAAGCTTACAATAATATAGAATTTCTGGGAAACGTATCCCAAAATGACCAGGCATGGGTGTGCAATACAGAAATAGTGTAATCTCTCCTGTAAATCTCATGAAATAATGGAATTGAGTTTCCCCCCCGCTGGGAATCAACTTGGTCCCACGGAAGACAAAGTCTCATCATTGATTTCATGAAGACAAGACCAGACCCTGAATGAGGAAGTCCTATGCCTGTTCTCTCCTGCATACATCTCCATTTTTTAATTTCCATTTCTATACCTGTACACCAAACAAAATCCCCTAACCTGTTTCATTGAAGCAGTAAGGCAAAACATTTATATTCAAACAAAGTAAAGCCAGGAGGATGCAGGGACAATGTCCATCTGGACTATCCTCTTGCCCTACAAGAAACAGAAGTATCCTTTTAGATGTGGATGAAAAGAATTCTTCCTCACATTTAACCTTAACATTTCATGTACTTCTTTTCCTATGGTTCTACATAACAGCAGCTATGTCCTACCCTATTAGATATAATGCAGGACAAGCACTGAGCTGGCTTTAGAGTTTCTGAGCGTTTCTGACTTCTCTAGCGTAAAACAAACTAAAATCAATCTCACCACTTCCGTGATTCATCTCAGCTGATCTGTTCGTTCTTCAGATTTTTCTTAAGAAAGACGAAAACTCTTATATTTCTTCAAAGTCAATGGTCTCTAAAAATGAACTACTTATGGGAACAGTCAATTCACCTTCCCCATGTAAAAATGTAGATAGTTTTCATTATTAAAAAAAATCTTAATTTTTAAAAAAAATATTTTTATAGAATTTCATTGCAGCTTATATGCACAACGAATAAAACGGTTCAAAACCCCTATGTAAATAGGTTTTGAAATTCACACAGGTTAGAGAATCCCAAGATCAAGCCTACGTAAAAATGAAATAGTATCATTATTTTATGTAAATTTTAAAATTCCATGGAACCAATAGTATATTAAAATCTATTGCAGTTTTCCATAAGAGCTTAGTGAACACAATTTTTATGTTTGCACATACGATGACATACAACATTGTCCACTGGTACAAAGCGGGGTACACAATGACTAGAACAAACATGAACTCAGTTTTCATAACTAATGTCTGATTCTTCCATAGATGTCAATGGAAAGACTAATTAATTTCCCTGAGGCAGTAGCAAGACCTAAGTGGCCGGTAATGTGCCCTTCAGCTTCATGTTCACTCAGTTCTGTCAGTTAACACGCTTTTCCATTGCTGTGACAATTTTGAAGCATTTATTCTGTAAATGAATAGTCAGCTTTCATGCAAACAGTCCATTAGCATTAATCATATGACTCTCACATGATACATTGACAAAAAAAGCGTTCGCAATATTTCTTTTGTCCATGACAAATAAGTCGTCAGTAAGAAATGAAAAATAACAATAGAAAAGGAAGAGCAGAACAACCGATCTCTTGACATCATTTAATTTCTCTTCTGAAATATGACAAGCCATACTCTATTTGGTGTAAATACGGAGGATGGCATTTCTGTTGATCAAAAGGTGAGGTTTTGTCTACATTATCCCTGATCCTGTTGCATAAATTGACATTTGCTTTTCCTTATATATTTCTCTTAGGAAAATTCTGAAGAATCCTGACTTAGTGGAGTACAAAATGTGCAACTGCATAAAATAATTGAACAAACTGAGCCACTGTCACTGGCTATTATAAACAGATCCTTTCTCGGTCCTACCTAAGGAATTTTAAGGTATTAAAACCTTACAGCTTTCAAGACACGCACCTTCACTAGGGTTTGACTAAACGCTGCTATGCAGCCACTGGAAATAACTTGCATTAGGGCTTCTGCCTAGCAGGAAATTCTGATGAACCTGAACCAAAGCCCAGTCAATTCAGCATCAGGCTATTTTTCCTTCAACTTTAATTGGCACTGGATCAAGTCCTTTGCACACAAGCTCCCTTTTCTTCAACATTAAAACAATGCTTACGACTGTCACACAACATTTTTCCCTTCAATATCTACTCAAAAGGAGATTTTGAAAACCATCCCAGGACTCTGCAAAATGAAAATCAGACTTGGATTTGTGTGTCAGATAATAATCTTCAGAAGCTTGTTATATTGCAGATGGAGATTTTAGCTGCCATGTTGTCCTTCTAAAAATAACATGCAGTTTTCCAGTGAGCATGCAGTCAACTAGCAATATCAGTGTGCATTTATATCGCAAAGAATCATTTGAGAAATCCATCTTTATAGGTTTCTATAATCAAATTGGGAAAACTGTTCATTTTATACATAAGCAAAAATATTTTGAAAATCTTTAAAAACATGACAAATCTCAAAGTGTTTTTATGTTTCACAGTGGAAGGAAAAAAGACCATAGATGAAAGTGATAACAAATACACTATCTAAGAATTAATCGACATATTTTTAAGTGACAATGCTGGCAAACCACAAGAATGAAACGTTAAGGTATTTACTGTAAGCCAAGAGGAAAAGATTTATATGCATTATCTCCAAGCCAAAATACAATAAAATCAATTTGCAGGCTTGAAATAAAATACAATCAAAAGGCCATTTGTAACTCTGAGCTCCTGTCTCCTTCTTATGTTATAAATTAGCCCCAAATTTTCCAGCACCATTTTGTCCTTTTCTTTAAAGGGCAGAGACTATTTAGTTAGGAATGCACTTGGATGGTTTTTTAGTCCTGATCCAACTCCTACTGTTGCCAGTGGGATATTTTCTGTTGAATTCCGTGGGAATTAAAATAAAAAGGTCCTTAAGTAAAACTCAGTATCCTATATTAAAATAGTTGCTGTTCATAGAGATTTATTTGTGACTGCCCCAGTGGCTTACCCGTAAGTCGATGGGACATGAACAGTGTATTTCTTGAACCAGCTGTAAGGCAGAAAAGCTGAGGTTACTACTTGGATTCCCTGATGAAAAGCTGCAATTGTTTCATTTATAGGTAAATGTACTCTGGCTATTCCCAGAATGACCTTGGCTGCCAACTGCGTTGCCCTTAGTGTCAGCAGAAAGAAGGCTGTTGGTGTCAGTGGGCTTTGGATCAGGCTTTAAAGACAGAGAAAGCTTGCTTAAGGAGGAAAACAGACATAACGAATAGTCCTGATTTCCCAGGTTTTGTCACTTAGAGTTTAGAATATCAACAAGACACTTCAAACCCTGAAGAATAATTGTTGTAAGTCAATTATTTGCACCCTGTACATTTCTACAATTGTATACAGTAATAAAGAAGAACAAATCTCTCTGGCTTACAAAAAAAAAAAAAAGGCAAGTACTTTATTTATCAATAGAGATTTTAGCTGCTTTTTACACCATTGCAATGACTAAACAAATAGCATAAAATAAACAAAGGAGAGTATAAAATCACTTTATTCCAGCTGGTATCCCAAGACAACCTTTTGACTACGTACAGAGTTAGATGTTTCAAGTATGGCACTTATATAAATAAGAGCAGAGAGAAGGTGATATATTCACAGTTAAAAGCAATGAACTCTGTTCCTTTGGTATGTGTATCATCATAGGTGATTGTAGGTAAATACATAACTTGGCTGGCATGAACCAACTCCATCTTATTCATGCACATACTAGGGAATGAACTGAAATGTACTGATATATTTTGCAGATCACAACTAACGTAAGATGATCAAGGTCTCTGGTGTGTGTGTGTGTGTGTACAGGCAAATAAAAAAAATGGCAAAATTATATTCAGCATTTATTGTTTAGCATAACTAATTGATGCACAAGCTATGATAGAAAATAGCTAGTAATACACACCAGGAATAAACTCTGTGATTTAGACAAGCAAAATAATATAAGACATCTGTGAGATAGGTGAACGCAGATATCCTGATTGAGCTGTGTGTGGTCAGGTTCCTTACAGTGCAATTACCCTCCTTTTAAAACATGCTTACATCTGCACATTGCAACAGTTTCCCCCACCCCGTCCCACCCCATATAGAGTATCCTTGCAGATTTTTAATATGAACATTCTACACATTTACAACAATTAGCCAGACAGGCCAAACTGTAAACTTATCCTAATGACGACCAAAAAGCCGCTCCACCGACAGATAACACCCAATCATTAGAAAGAAAAGTAGGAATAATAGTAGCTGTGCTGTAAGGCTAGATCAAGCATGGTTTTATAGCTGGTTTCTCAGTCTTTTACATAGCACTGCGTTTTGCAGCTAGTTCAGTAAGTGCAGATCCAATACCTTAATGGCTTTCTTGGTGTTTTGATAAAATGCTTGCCTAAGCAATGTACCTTTCTCTAATGGTATCTGGGTCTGTTCCACCTGGCACAGTGTTTCAGTTCTGTCACAGCCTCACACATAAGCTGAGTCACTTGACTGAGTCCTGCCAAAGTTAGGCATGCTCATTCTTGGCAGGTCCTTATTTCTGATTTCGTATATGGATTTCCTTTTTGCCTGTACTCCTCTCACTGCCATTTTGATCTTTCTCCAGCCCAAGTGGTTCAGTTCTGCCAAATTGAGCACCACACAAATCCCACTGACAGCAAACATGAATACCAAGAATACAGTCTTCTCAGTGGGTCTAGAGACATAGCACTCTACTTCTTTAATGCAAGGGTATCTGTCACATTCGTACATGGAAGGGACATTGAATCCGTACAGAAAATACTGTCCCACTAAGAATCCAATCTCTAGGGCATTTCGAAAGACCACTTGGATGATATAAAATCGAGAAATGCCTTCTTGCCTCCTCATCTTTGACTTTGTAGTTCTGATAGCAGGGTTGGGGATTTCCTTCACTTCTAAGCAGTCTGGTTCTGCCTCTTTGGTGGAGTTCTCAGTGTTCTGCAGCACCCCATTGACAATCGTGTTCTTGATTTTCTTACTGTCCTCACGCTTCATGGAATCCTGGTCCCTCTCCAAGGTGAGGAAGACAGTGGAGTACCTCCGTTCCCTCTGCTTAGCAGACTGGTGAACGGAGTACGTTATGAAGCAAAGGCTGGGGGTGCACACCATGATGATCTGGAACACCCAGTACCTTATGTGAGAAATAGGGAAAGCCTGGTCGTAACAAGCCTGGTTGCAGCCTGGCTGCAGCGTGTTACAGACAAACATGGTTTGCTCGTCATCGTACACCGTCTCCCCTACAATGGCCACGATGAGTATCCTGAAGATGACCACCACCGTCAGCAGGATCCTGCAACAGAGAAGCCCGTCAGTGCGCGCCGCCGCCGCGCGGCCGGGAGCTGTCCGGTGCTCCAGTGCTGACCGGGCCC